ATCTATCTATCTATCTATCTATCTATCTATCTATCTATCTATCTATCTATTTGTTTGTTTATTATTTATTTTGATGCTGGTTTTGTGCTACATACCCATAATCCCAGTGTTTAGGAGACTGAGACAGAGGATAGCCTGGGATATGTAGTTAAGATCAGGTATGAAATTTTTTTTGCGTTCTTTGCATTTTTCACCTATTACTTAGTCACAGGTTTGCCCATAGAAGTCAGGCTGCTCATAAATAACGTGTGAGAAGACACACTCAAGTACCATGTTGGAAAAGCATATTCTCCCAAGTGTCCATTACAGCTTTAGGTTTTGATGTTGGAATGGAGCCAGTGGCCATGTGCATGTTAAACAGGCACTCTGTGTCTGGGATACACTTTTTGTCTTTTCATTCTGTTTAGGAGATTAAAAAGAGAAAAAGTGTAACCAGCTAGATTCTTCTCATATTCTCAGCTAAGCACAGACAAACAAGCGTGCGTTCCTAAAGCAAGACCAAGGGCACAGAAGACTTGAACATGAGATTCATGGAGAGCTGGTGGATTTCCCCGAGTGGTTTTTTTTTTCATTCAAGTTGGGGTAGGTGTGAGAGATGTTCCGTGATACAGAAGAGACGTGTCCCAATTGTCAGTTGCAGGATAGGAATGAACAGTTGGTTGCACACATATATCTGAGCCTTTCTTAAAAGGCTCTTGGGTAGAAGAATAGCCAATTAAAGAAAACTTAAAACTTGAGGTTTTATTCTAGTATCAGATGACAAAGTCTGGCTGTGTAGGCATGAGTGGCCTAGAACTCGTTATGTAAAGCATGCGGGCCTCAAACTCGCAGTGACCCTTCTGCACCTGACTCATGGGATGGAATTGCAGGTGTGAACCACCACATCTGGCCTCGCATTTCTGATTTGGGGGTCTTTAATAGTACATGGAGTATTTCCTTCTTAGAATCCATATTTTCTTACAAGTGGGCAAAAGAAAAGCCAGTCTTACAAGCTGAGGATCCGCCTAGATAGAACCCGTGTGGCTCCGTGCCACTTAACATGGGGTGGCTTTGATCGTGGCCTGATTTTCAAAGCAACACTCATCCTAGGTACTGGTTTGGGAAAACCAGTAAGCAGGCATAGGTAGGAAGAGACCCACTGATGGCCATTCATGCCCGTAATCTCAGTATTTGGGAGGCTGAAGCGGGAGGATTGCCATCGAGTTTGGACCCAGTCTGGGCTTCATAGTGAGTTTAAGGCTAGTTTGGGC